GAGGAGAGGAGAGGATTACAATTATTTCAGGCAGTTCTTGGCTGGTAGTTATCTCTGCATCAGGCAGCCATTTCTGTCTCCTCTCCTCTTCTCCTCTGCTAATGGTAGTTATCTCTGCATCAGGCAGCCATTTCTGTCTCCTCTCCTCTTCTCCTCTGCTAATGGTAGTTATCTCTGCATCAGGCAGCCATTTCTGTCTCCCTCTACTCTTCTCCTCTGCTAATGGTAGTTATCTCTGCATCAGGCAGCCATTTCTGTCTCCTCTCCTCTTCTCCTCTGCTAATGGTAGTTATCTCTGCATCAGGCAGCCATTTCTGTCTCCTCTCCTCTTCTCCTCTGCTAATGGTAGTTATCTCTGCATCAGGCAGCCATTTCTGTCTCCCTCTACTCTTCTCCTCTGCTAATGGTAGTTATCTCTGCATCAGGCATCCATTTCTGTCTCCTCTCCTCTTCTCCTCTGCTAATGGTAGTTATCTCTGCATCAGGCAGCCATTTCTGTCTCTTCTCCTCTGCTAATGGTAGTTATCTCTGCATCAGGCAGCCATTTCTGTCTCCTCTCCTCTTCTCCTCTGCTAATGGTAGTTATCTCTGCATCAGGCAGCCATTTCTGTCTCTTCTCCTCTGCTAATGGTAGTTATCTCTGCATCAGGCAGCCATTTCTGTCTCCCTCTCCTCTTCTCCTCTGCTAATGGTAGTTATCCTCTGCATCAGGCAGCCATTTCTGTCTCTTCTCCTCTGCTAATGGTAGTTATCTCTGCATCAGGCAGCCATTTCTGTCTCTTCTCCTCTGCTAATGGTAGTTATCTCTGCATCAGGCAGCCATTTCTGTCTCTTCTCCTCTGCTAATGGTAGTTATCTCTGCATCAGGCAGCCATTTCTGTCTCCTCTCCTCTTCTCCTCTGCTAATGGTAGTTATCTCTGCATCAGGCAGCCATTTCTGTCTCCCTCTACTCTTCTCCTCTGCTAATGGTAGTTATCTCTGCATCAGGCAGCCATTTCTGTCTCCTCTCCTCTTCTCCTCTGCTAATGGTAGTTATCTCTGCATCAGGCAGCCATTTCTGTCTCCTCTCCTCTTCTCCTCTGCTAATGGTAGTTATCTCTGCATCAGGCAGCCATTTCTGTCTCCCTCTACTCTTCTCCTCTGCTAATGGTAGTTATCTCTGCATCAGGCAGCCATTTCTGTCTCCTCTCCTCTTCTCCTCTGCTAATGGTAGTTATCTCTGCATCAGGCAGCCATTTCTGTCTCTTCTCCTCTGCTAATGGTAGTTATCTCTGCATCAGGCAGCCATTTCTGTCTCCTCTCCTCTTCTCCTCTGCTAATGGTAGTTATCTCTGCATCAGGCAGCCATTTCTGTCTCTTCTCCCTCTGCTAATGGTAGTTATCTCTGCATCAGGCAGCCATTTCTGTCTCCCTCTCCTCTTCTCCTCTGCTAATGGTAGTTATCTCTGCATCAGGCAGCCATTTCTGTCTCTTCTCCTCTGCTAATGGTAGTTATCTCTGCATCAGGCAGCCATTTCTGTCTCTTCTCCTCTGCTAATGGTAGTTATCTCTGCATCAGGCAGCCATTTCTGTCTCTTCTCCTCTGCTAATGGTAGTTATCTCTGCATCAGGCAGCCATTTCTGTCTCTTCTCCTCTGCTAATGGTAGTTATCTCTGCATCAGGCAGCCATTTCTGTCTCTTCTCCTCTGCTAATGGTAGTTATCTCTGCATCAGGCAGCCATTTCTGTCTCCTCTCCTCTTCTCCTCTGCTAATGGTAGTTATCTCTGCATCAGGCAGCCATTTCTGTCTCTTCTCCTCTGCTAATGGTAGTTATCTCTGCATCAGGCAGCCATTTCTGTCTCCCTCTCCTCTTCTCCTCTGCTAATGGTAGTTATCTCTGCATCAGGCAGCCATTTCTGTCTCTTCTCCTCTGCTAATGGTAGTTATCTCTGCATCAGGCAGCCATTTCTGTCTCTTCTCCTCTGCTAATGGTAGTTATCTCTGCATCAGGCAGCCATTTCTGTCTCTTCTCCTCTGCTAATGGTAGTTATCTCTGCATCAGGCAGCCATTTCTGTCTCTTCTCCTCTGCTAATGGTAGTTATCTCTGCATCAGGCAGCCATTTCTGTCTCTTCTCCTCTGCTAATGGTAGTTATCTCTGCATCAGGCAGCCATTTCTGTCTCCTCTCCTCTTCTCCTCTGCTAATGGTAGTTATCTCTGCATCAGGCAGCCATTTCTGTCTCCTCTCCTCTTCTCCCCTGCTGCTGGTCGTTTTGTTTGTCTAGGCTCAGAATACCATAGTAACCAGGGTAACACACTGTGTCCCAAATATACTGTGTGTCCCAATATATAGTGCACTATTTTTGACCAGGGTACCTTACACACGGTATGGCTACCCTGTCTTGTGATGAACCCCCCCCCTTCATTTTCCAGTGTCCATCGGTGGGGGAGTGTCCTTCAAAAACGGAGCGACTAGTGGTGGCAGGGAGCGATTTATAACCCAATAGAATGGGACATAGCTGCAACACACCATGAACAGCAGAAGCGGCCAAAGGATGGCAATTCATTGACGACAAGCCTTGTGTTTTTTCAAAATGCCAGTACTGGCGGCAGTAATATCTTGCCTTGTATTTCTCATGCAACAAATACGTACTGACAGTACCATATGAGCAACGTATGACGACTGGAAAACAACGACGTACCCATAATGTAGCCATCCTACCATCCTATGGCTGTGGTTCAACGTGGCCCCGTGTAGCTCGGTTGGTAGAGCATGGCGCTTGCAACGCTAGGGGTTGTGGGTTTGATTCCCACGGGGTCCAGTATGAAAATATGTATGCACTCGCTAACTGTAAGTCACTCTGGATAAGAGCGTCTGCTAAACGTAGTACTGAAGCAGGACTTTACGTAATAGCAGTTTGACATGTAACAGTCGCATTTCCTCCGCTCAGTCATTTTCTGCAATTTCTTGGGGATTAATGATTAACCAGTGGAAGCAATGAAAACCACTGTTCTGAACTAACATCTATACCAAACGTTTTAGGGTCCCTACGCAGATCGGCTACATAGCTCCACATCCATAGTTCACAGGTGTATATCTGCTGCACTAGACAATAAGAAATACAATAGTTAGTTAGCTATGTTACTTCAGCTGCATTGCAGACAAATATCTTCAATCTCAAATGTCACTACAATAAACAATGACAAGTCAGACTTTTAATGAACAGCAAGGCAAGCTTACGAAATAGTTTATAACATTTGCAGTAACGTTAAATGCTTCAGCTATATTCTTTACATCCACTAGAGGTTACACTAGATGACAGCCTGGTTTGCTGGTTTGCTCAGGAGTCCCTAAAACATTAAACAACACAAATTACAATTCATACAAATGTCAAAAGCCCATAAACCAAGCTAAATGTATAGCTAGCTGGCGAATGTTAGCTAGTCAAGATTACAGATGGCTTGTTAAATAGCGTTTTTCTTAAATTAACTTTGACAAAAAAAATATGCATAATAATTTGTCTCTACATTAACTAATATATTCCTCTTATCTGTAAATTTCTTGCATGAATCGTTATGAAAGTTATAATTACTTACACTGGCTTCCATCCTAGTATTTTTTTCAGCCATTATTCTTGAAGCAACTCTCCAGGGTTGGGTCGCAGAGCTTCATGGGAGTTTTGGGAAACACTCGATAGAAAGTCTGCATCTCGATTCGCTTCGTTTGGAGGGCAAACTAGAGGGCTGAAAAGGCACTACACCTCGCTCAAAAGTTTAATTGGGAAACCACTACGACTCGATGGGGCTTGCGGGATCGCACAAAACGGGGCTAAGGGGGATATTGGGATTGAGCCAAAGTCTGCTTAGGGAGAGGCTAATGCAAACAAGGTATTAGAAGGCAAATATACTGTACGTTGAGTCATGGCTCCCCTACAAGAGGCCTTTTGTATCCATAGAAGAGTAGCAAGGGGTAGCTACCCCCGTTCTCCTGCAGAGTGACAGAAACATGAGTTTCAACAACAGCTGCAGCAACTGTCTGTCCCCCTCCCCCTCTCTCTCTGTCTCTCTCTCCCCCTCTCCCTCTCTCTCTCTCTCTCTCTGTTTCTCTCTCTCTCTCTCCCCCACCTCTCTCTCTCTCTCTCTCTCTCTCTCTCTCTCTCTCTCTCTCTCTCTCTCTCTCTCCGCCTCTCTCTCTCCGCCTCTCTCTCGCTCTCTCTCTCTCTCTCTCGCTCTCTCTTTTGTACCTTCTCTTTCTGATTCTCTGTTTCTACCTAGTGGGGACTACATTACACATTAAAATCCCAGGGTTGACACAACAGTAATCATCATATGGGCATATACACTGAGTATACGTATATACACTAATCATCATATGGGCATATACACTGAGTATACGTATATACACTAATCATCATATGGGCATATACACTGAGTATACGTATATATATGTGGTCCTCTGTAGCTCAATTGGTAGAGCATGGCGCTTGTAACGCCAGGGTAGTGGGTTCGATCCCCGGGACCACCCATAGGTAAAAATGTATGCACACATGACTGTAAGTCGCTTTGGATAAAAGCGTCTGCTAAATGGCATATTATTATTATACCAATAACTAGGAACACCTCCCTAATATTGAGTCTTGATACACACAGGAAACTGTTGAGTGTGAAAACCCAGCAGCAGCGTTGCAGTTCTTGACACAAACCAGTGCGCCTGGCACCTACTACCATACCCCGTTCAAAGGCACTTACATTTTTCAATTGTCTCAAGGTTTAAAAATCCTTCTTTAACCTGTCTCCTCCCCTTCATCTGCAGTGATTGAAGTGGATTTAACAAGTGACATCAATAAGGGATCATAGCTTTCACCTGGATTCACCTGGTCATTCTATGTCATGGAAAGAGCAGGTGTTCTTAATGTTTTGTTCACTTAGTGTATCATAATCATTTACACACATGGTGTCACACATACGACACAGCTGAATTCTTGGACCTAGGGGGCACACTGCGCAATATCCTCCATATGGTCAGGTGTCATCGCTGTCTAGTTCATTCAGATTGTCTCTTCTCCTTCTCACCCCGTCTCTCTCAACAGCGTGAGTGTATCTCTGTGCATGTGGGCCAGGCTGGAGTCCAGATGGGCAACACCTGTTGGGAGCTGTACTGCCTGGAACATGGGATCCAGCCGGACGGACAGATGCCCAGCGATAAACCCACAGGTAACCTTGACGACTCCTTCACTACCTTCTTCAGCGCCACGGGCACCGGGAAGTACGTGCCCCGCGCCATCTTCGTCGACCTGGAGCCAACCGTTATCGGTAAGTCTTTTCACAGAAGCTTTTATCCTTTGAAAAACACTTCAACATTTACGACACACCTGCTAAAGCAAATCTCAGATGTGCCAGTACATTCCATTTATAAATGTGTACAGAACATCATCCACGGGTATCTAGTCTTCTCTCCAGCCCCACATAGAAAAATACTGTTTTCTCTTCCTCCAGATGAGGTGAGGACCGGTACCTATCGCCAGCTGTTCCACCCTGAGCAGCTCATCTCAGGCAAGGAGGATGCTGCCAACAACTACGCACGCGGTCACTACACCATCGGCAAGGAGATCATTGACTCCGTCCTGGACAGGATCCGTAAACTGGTGAGAATGCTTGAGGAATGAATTGTTGACAATTATGACAATTGGAGACTTGATTTGATAAACAAGAAGCTTTTTCGTTCCATAACCCTCGTAACCCTGGGTTATTCCCGATATCAATTGATAACCGTTGAACCATCAACATAAATGAAAAGGGGGGAGAGTAGACAGCCTTGTGGTACACCACTATAAACGCAACATGCAACAATTTCAAAGGTTTTACTAAGTTACAGTTCATATACGGAAATCAGTTAGGCCCTAATCTATGGATTTCACATGACTGGAAATACAGATACCTTTAAAAAAAAAAAGTAGGGGAATGGTTCAGAAAACCAGTCAGTATCTAGTGTGACCACCATATGCCTCATGCAGTGTGACACATCTCCTTCGCATAGAATTGATCAGGCTGTTGATTGTGGCCTGTGGAATGTTGTCCCACTCTTCTGCAATGGCTGTGCGAAGTTGCTGGATATTGGCGGGAACTGGAACACGCTGTCGTACACGTCGATCCAGAGCATCCCAAACATGCTCAATGGGTGACATGTCCGGTGAGTATGCAGGCCATGGAAGAACTGGGACATTTTCAGCTTTCAGGAACTGTGTACAGATCCTTGCGACATGGTTATCGTGCATTATCATGCTGAAACATGAGGTGATGGTGGCGTATGAATGGCACGACAATGGACCTCAGGATATCGTCACGGTATCTCTGTGCATTCAAATTGCCATCGATAAAATGCAATTGTGTTCGTTGTCCGTAGCTTATGCTTGCCCATACCATAACCCCGCCGCCACCATGGGGCACTCTGTTCACAACATTGACATCAGCAAACCGTTCACCCACACGACGCGGTTGTGAGGCCGGTTGGACGAACTGCCAAATTTTCTAAAACGACGTTGGAGGCGGCTTATGGTAGAGAAATGAACATTCAGTTCTCTGGCAACAGTTCTGGTGGACATTCCTGCAGACATTTTATTTATTTAATTTTTTATTTTACCTTTATTTAACTAGGCAAGTCAGTTAAGAACAAATTCTTATTTACAATGACGGCCTACACCGGCCAAACCCGGACGACGCTGGGCCAATTGTGCGCCGCCCTATTTGACTCCCAATCACGGCCGGTTGTGATACAGCCTGGAATCAAACCAGGGGGTCTGTAGTGACGCCTCAAGCACTGAGATGTAGTGCCTTAGACTGCTGCGCCACTTGGGAGCCCATTTTAGCGGGGCCTTTTATTGTCCCCAGCACAAGGTGCACCTGTGTAATGATCATGCTGTTTAATCAGCTTCTTGATATGCCACACCTGTCAGGTGGATGGATTATCTTGGCAAAAGAGAAATGCTCACTAACAGGGATGAAAACAAATTTGTGAAAAACATTTGAGGGAAATAAGCTTTTTGTGCGTATGGAAAATGTCTGGGATGTTTTATTTCAGCTCATGAAACATGAGACCAACACTTTACACCTTTCGTTTATATTTCTGTTCAGTGTAATTGCCCCTAAATTCATAGTGTCTGATAATGCTGTGTTGATGTGCTGCTCTGATAGGCTGTGTCATTGTCTCCCTCAGGCTGACCAATGCACTGGTCTCCAAGGGTTCCTGGTCTTCCACAGCTTCGGAGGAGGCACCGGCTCTGGTTTCACCTCCCTGCTGATGGAACGTCTGTCTGTTGACTTCGGCAAGAAGTCCAAGCTGGAGTTTGCCATCTATCCAGCTCCCCAGGTGTCCACAGCAGTGGTGGAGCCCTACAACTCCATCCTGACCACCCACACCACCCTGGAGCACTCTGACTGTGCCTTCATGGTGGACAACGAGGCCATCTATGACATCTGCCGTAGGAACCTCGACATTGAGCGTCCCTCATACACCAACCTCAACAGGCTCATCAGTCAGATCGTTTCCTCCATCACTGCCTCCCTGCGCTTCGATGGAGCCCTGAATGTTGATCTGACAGAGTTCCAGACCAACTTGGTGCCCTACCCCCGTATCCACTTCCCTCTGGCCACCTATGCCCCAGTCATCTCCGCTGAGAAGGCCTATCATGAGCAGCTGTCAGTGGCTGAGATCACCAACGCCTGCTTCGAACCAGCCAATCAGATGGTGAAGTGTGACCCTCGTCACGGCAAATACATGGCCTGCTGCCTCCTGTACCGTGGTGACGTTGTTCCCAAAGATGTCAATGTAGCGATCGCTGCTATCAAGACCAAGAGGAGTATCCAGTTTGTGGACTGGTGTCCTACTGGCTTTAAGGTGGGGATCAACTACCAGCCCCCTACGGTGGTTCCTGGAGGAGACCTGGCCAAGGTCCAGAGGGCTGTGTGCATGCTGAGCAACACCACAGCCATCGCTGAGGCCTGGGCCCGTCTGGACCACAAGTTTGACCTGATGTACGCCAAGCGGGCCTTTGTGCACTGGTACGTTGGTGAGGGCATGGAGGAGGGAGAGTTCTCTGAGGCCAGAGAAGACATGGCAGCTCTGGAGAAGGATTATGAAGAGGTGGGTATTGACTCGTTTGAGGAGGAGGGGGAAGAAGGAGAGGAGTATTAAACAGTGAATCTGCTGGTTAGGTTCTGGAACAAAATGTATGTTACAAGGTTAATTGCCAAATGAGTCCAAAGGAGCCGTTGTCAAGTATTTTGGTTATTGTATGTTAATTATTAAACAATATTTAATTTCTATTTTGTTGACACTTAATTTAATATCCATACCATGAAATTCCATGTTCAAAAATTGCTGTAACACTGAAAAGTTACCCCTTGTCTTTGATTTGAAGAATACTGTTGCCTTGCCAATGTTTTCCTTTTTTACTGAGTTGTTCGAAATCGATGTTTTATTGAAGGCTGAAGCAGAAGCTGTACATGAACATGCTTGTTTTTATAAATGAGGCCCTCACTCAATAATGTCCAAGCTCAATAAAGTTATCCTCAAAATAAATCGCTTTAGTCATCTTTATTCACACCCTACACCATGACTTGATAAGATGTTGCAATTAGTGTGTTTTACTGTGGCCAAGGCTTTAAATGACCAGCAATGCATATAGGCTACTTTATGAACGCATACAGCTGGCTACATGCTAATTAGCCCCTAGTCTATTATCCTACTGCACCCGTATTCTGACATTTTGATAATTGCTATCAGTCTTGGATTTATTAACTAATCTCAGCCTTCATAGATGTGGAGGATGTATGGTAGGGGCTAATTAGATCCTCCGATTGCCACTTGGCGGCTTCAGAGCGAAGTGGGTATCGCATAAAGGTGCCCGCATACTAGTTTCAGTTTGTTCCAAGCGAACGTCTGTGCCTCGCATACTCCCTTCAAAGACATTCGCTTGAAAAACGAAATATTTACGAGAAAAAAAAAAGCTGCTAATATTGCTGAGGAAGTCTTAGTCGAGCAATTTTACATCTAGGATGTTCAGTGCAGTATTTCTCAAGTGAAAAAAATTTGCATGAAAACGAGTCTCTCGTTGAATGACAACAAAAACGTAATTGAAGAGTGTAGTTCCCCACTCCTACTAGGAGTAGTACTGTTGACCAATCATCGATGAAAGGGCGCAGACTTCAGCTAACTGAACTTAATCTTGACTCAAGAAAAAATTGTTTGAATGTTAAATGACGAGACAGCAATTGATGCGAGTAACCAGTCTTGTTCAGTTTATTGCAATACATCCGGGTATCTCAAGTACACCGGCAAAACACTGGAGTTGCAGTAATTAACATTTACCAACAGATGGCATCATTGTGCCATCTTCCACCCATAACATCTTCCCTTTTATAAAATAGGACAGGAGCTGTCAATTCACTAACAAAACAAACCTAGTAGTAAATTCCAACATTAACAGTTTAGTATTTTTTATTTATTTATTTATTTTTTTTATTTTTTTCCAGTTAACCACTTAACACATTTTTATACTCTCTTCACTTTTATCTCTGTCTGTCAACAATCCCTAATGGGAAACCTACAGATTAAGTATTTTTGGTGGCTGGGACAGACGCCCGCAGCGTGAAAAGACAGGGGGCTTGTCTGCGTGGACTGCGGGCTCCCGCACAGGCGTGACACCAGACTGTCTAAGGGGAGCATTGATGGGCGAGGGAGTGGCCGACCTGTGATCCCCTGGCTCTTCCCCCAGTGTCTCAGGCCCCTATGTGACTTGCTGGGGTTCCGTCTTTTGTCATGCGACCCCTATGACCATCAGAGTTCTGAGTAGATGCTGGCTCAGCAATCCGAAGGTCAACCCTGTTACAACGGTACAGTGATCCATTCACTTCGACCAAGTAGGGGCGTGGTGCAACTTTCTGCACACAGGATCCGAGTCTCCAGAGGGCCCGTCCGGTCCCCTGGTAGTGGCTTCATTCGCACCATTTCACCCACCCTGAGCTCAGGTAAGTCTTTTGCTGATTTGTCGTAGATGAACTCGGAGACCTGTCTTCTGTGACGTAGCTTCACCAGCACGTCTGTCACCACACATGGCTCCAGGAGAATGCTTGCTACTGGCAGAGCTGCTTTTAAACACAGTGCCATGAGGCGCTGGGCCTGGGCTGCTATCCATGCCTTCTGTCGGGGTATTGCGCCACTGCAGGATTGCTTTCCAGGCATCTTTGCCCTCTCGCTTTTTTGCAGAGGTTCTTTGCGATTTTGACTGCCGACTCAGACCTACTATCTGCCAGGGGCGCATTGGGAGCTCGTGGGACATCATCGTCTCTCTCTGTTGCTCAATGGCATATTCATTGCAGATTGTGCATTTACTGACACAGTCTTTTGTCTTTTGATTTCACTCTGCATTCCTGGCCAATACAGTGTGTCACGTGGTTGTCTGTAACAGGCCTCACCTCCTATGTGACCTGAGTGGAAGCGCGCCAACATCTCAGGGCGCAGAGACCGGGGAATAACGACTCTCTGACCCTTGAATAATACTCCGTTTTGAACACTGAGCTCTTCTTTGACTGGCCAATATTCTCTGATGGCTAAAGCAGTTTCTTCCTTGCAGTCGGGCCAGCCCATCAGAATCACAGACCTCAACGCCTGGAGTTTGCTCGTCCCTGTCTGTGTGCTGTCTGATTTGTATAAGGCGCTGGTCCGTAACATTGAGGTAGTCAGCCTGGTTGATGTGTTCAACATCCACTTGCTCTGTTTGTAAGCTGTAATGTCTGCACCTGTTGTATTCGGCGCATGTGGCCAATAAAATATGGTTTGATTTGATTTGATTTGATTTCTTCATGCATGGAGCGTGTGTGAGTGCCTGATGCAGTAGCCCTGCTGAGCGTGTCACTCGCATACATCTCTGGCCCTGGCTTGTACACCACCTTGAGGTTGTAGTTTTGTAGGGCCAGTAGCTCTGCAGTCGTTTCGGGGCATTCAGGAGAGGCTTGCTGAATATAGCAATAAGGGGCTTGTGATCTGTCTCTGCGGTAATATTGTCACGCCCGTACAGGTAGTGGTGGAAGCGTTGGCATGCAAACACAATGCTGAGGCACTCCTTCTCTATCTGGGCATAGTTCTGCTCTGTTGGAGTGAGTGCCCTAGAGGCGAATGCCACAGGCTGGCCCTCTTGCATGAGGCAACAGCCCAGTCCATACTGGCTTGAGTCACTCTGAATCGTGACAGGTTTTGACACATGGTAGTATCGCAGTACAGGTGTCTGGGTGACCAGTTGTTTTATTTCCCTCATCGCTGTGTCATGTTTTGGGAGCCAATTCCAGATGGTGTCCTTGTCCATGAGCCTCCTTTGTGGTTCACACACTTCAGAGAGCCGCGGTAGGCACTTGGCCAAGTAGGTGACGAATCCGACGAAGCGCTACACTGCCTTCACGTCAGATGAGTGGGGCATATCCAAGACAGCCTTCACTTTTTCTGGATCCGCCTTCAATCCGGTGGAGGACAAGATGTGCCCATGAAAGCGAACCTCTGGCACTTTAAACGGAAGCTTTTTTTATGCTTAGCCTTAGCTTGACCTGTCTGCATCTGACCATCAGGGCCAGCAGCTTGGCATCATGGTCACATTCTGCCTCCTCATCACTGTCCCCACAGCCCACTACGAGGATGTCATCTGCTATGGGTTCCACGCCGCTGAGTCCCATCAACAGCTCGTGCTGTTTCCGCTGATACACCTCTGGAGCCACGGAGACACCAAACGGGAGCTTCAACCACCTCTTCCTGCCCCAGGGTGTCCAAGAGGTGGTCATGTAGCTGCTGGGCTCGTCAAGCTTGCACTGCAGGAAGGCATCTCTGGCATCCACGAGCGTGAAGACTCTGGCCTTTGGGAGCTTGTAAAGAACATCCTCCAACGTGGGCATAATGTAATGTGAACGTCTCAGAGCCCGGTTGAGGTGTTTAGGATCAATGCATATCCGTAGCTTGTCTGGTTTCTTGACGATAACCATATTACTTATCCAGTCTGTAGGCTCGGTGACGGATATGATGTGGCCATCTGCTTCGTATTTGTCAAGCTGAGCCTTCGTAGCTGCTTTCATGGCCACTGGTACATTGCGGGGTGCACACTGGACAGGCTGGATTGCTGCGTCCAACTCAAAGTGGACTTCGCCGGGAACTGACTCGACCGGTGCGTTGAAGACATCATGGTACTTGCTTAGGAGAGTCTCCTTGCTCAGGGGCCCAGCCTGGACTTTGTCTATAATGTTAAGATCAGCTGGGATGGTGAAGTTAATAAGCCCAAGGCGCTCGCATGTAGAACCTGACAGTAATGGCTGTTGACTAGCCTCAACTATTTCAAACTCAAGAGTGTGTTTCTGGCCACGTAAAACACACTCTGTCACAAACAGGCCTAAAGAGGTCATGAACTGGCCTGAATACAGTTTCAGCTTGGTGCTACTCTGTGTGAGTTTGTCTCTGGGCGCGAGCCTCCTTTTATCTTTAAGGCTCATAACGTTACATGTGGCCCCTGAATCTTGCTGGCATTGCTGTGGTTTATTATTAAGTAGCAGAGTGACAAACCATTTTTTCCCTTTTGCCCTTACTGCCCCTATGCACTCGCTAGCATATACATCCTCTGTGCTGTTGTTCCCTTCATCTGTGTTTATTTCAATGGAGTGCACTTTACCCTCCTTTCTCTTGCTTTTCATGCAGGCCCTTGCGAAGTGATTAGCTGTACCACAGGATTTGCTTCTTTTTTCCATAGGCTGGGCAGTGTTCTTTTCCTCGTCCCATGAGAAATGCCACAATATCGGCATGCATTGGGGTTGTCTACTGCAGAGTTGGCTGTAGTATTATTAGCATTAGCTGTGGCAAAAGGGAATTTCTTTACTGGCTGCCTGAATGTAGCATTGACATTGTCCATATGTTGCCTTTCTAGCTCCATGGACCTTGTCCGTATATCAGTAAGCTCTGCTGCACGGAATGTCTCCACTGCCAAGACCAGTGTCAGGTCACGTTCTCTCAGCAAACGTCTGCGGCTGCCCTCATCAGTTATGCCAAGCACTATCTTATCTCTGATCAGTTCATCTCTTAAAGCGCCATAGTCACATGTAGCTGCCTTTTCCCTTAGCCTAGTGACAAAGCTGTCAATGGTCTCCCCGTCCTCCTGTTTGCAACAACCGAAAACATAAGGCTCGTAGATAACGTTCTTTGCTGGCATAAA